TCCAAATCCCCCTACTGGCCGGCTAGCGCGTGAGATGTGGCTACATCTCCCGGCGAGATGTCGGCGAGTTCTCGTGAGAGCGAGTCGCTGGCACGGCCTAGGACGACTGCGAGAGCGTGCAGTTCATCAGCGGCGCCGTGCTCGAGGCGGCGCGGAACGCGACTCCGACCGCAGACGGGCAGCAGGGGCAGGGGCAGGGGCAGCAGCTGCTCCTGTCGATGGGGATCAACGATTGCGAGGCGAAACGCTCGCGTGCCCCCGAGATGGCGTGTGACCTGATCGCGAGATGCGTACCACGATTTCGATTTAGGCGAAGCTGGCGCGCATTCCGATGGCGCGGGTGTGGGAGATGCTGAGGCCGCTGCCGGGCGAGAAGGACGCGTGCCAGGTGGGTGGAGGAGGGCTGGAGGAAGGGTAGGTAGGTAGGAAGATAAGCTTCTCCACGGAAGGGTGGAGGGTCGGCCCACAGGTCGGTACGTTGCTTGTTCGATACACATATATGTAGAGGTAAGGTAAGGTAAGGTAAACTTCTCCACACACACGAGGTGGTGGGGCAAGGGGGGGCAACCCTCGCGTCTCCACGTCTGACGACAGGAGCCCCACGGCATTCAAAGTGCAAGGCCCAGTGCGCGTGGGTGAGCGGTGTGTGTGTGTGTGTGTGTGTGTGTGTGTGTGTGTGTGTGTGTGTGTGTGTGTGTGTGTGTGTGTGTGTGTGTGTGTGTGTGTGTGTGTGTGTGTGTGTGTGTGTGTGTGTGTGTCTCACGTCACTGCATCCTCCGCCGGTTCCTCCCGTCGCCTCTTCTTTGTTCGAATGTTTTTCAATCCATCCTTCACGAAGCCCTCCCATGTAGCTAGCGTTCTTGGCGAATGTCTCGAAATGGCCAGCAGGCGCTGTCTGCTCGCGGTCTGTGCGGGCCGCTCGTCCTCCTCGCCCTTCTTTCGTCCTCCCGTCCCTCCCCTCCACCATGGCCTCGTCGACCGGAGTTGGATGGTACCACGCGTCTCACTGAGACGCGGGGTACTGGCCATGGCCGGGCTACGGAGCGTGAGGTGGCGAGCGGAGCGAGCGACAAAACAACGAGAAAAACACGGATCTGAGGATTGTCACAAAACCTCAGATCTTGCGCCACCCAGGGCTGGACCTAGTCCGCCTGCCCCTCCTCCTCATGCATGTAGATGCATGCCCTGTTCGTCACGTGTCGTGCTAGGTCCATCTCGTACGCGCTCGTTACCCTGCTCCGCAGGTGTGCCTTTGCCGCCGCGTCCGCCATGGAATTGGGCGCGTTGCCCGCATGCCCCTCCGTGAAGATGAAAATCACGTACCCTCCGTGGCGCTGTATAATGTCGATTTGTGCTTGCACCGCCGCATTGAGTGCGCTCCTATTTGTCTCGCCGCGTGTCCGCCCCCGATACGCCCGTTCGATCTCCTTGAGCGCCGTCTCGCTGTCCGACATTACTAGGCATCGGTGAGGCTGGAGGGTCGTTTCTGTTTCGTCCGCCTTCGTGCGCAGGAAGCTGTAAATGGCGTACATCTCGGCGTCGACAATCTCCCACGATCCCGGCAGGGCGCCTCCCCATATTCCCCGTCCTATTCGCTCGTGAATCTGTGCCCTGGTCTCTTGTGTGTCGTCATCTCCCTCTTTCGGCTGCACGCCCTCCCATCCCCCGAACGATGCTAGCCTTCCGTCTCGAGTCTCCTTCAGCGAGCTGCGAGGCGTCCGTCGCG